CATCATTAACAACATCATCACCATTATCAACATCAACGTCAACATCACCATCATCATCAACAACATCATCAGCATCATCAACATCGTCATAATCATCATCATCATCATCATGACCATCATGAACACCGTCGTCATCACTACCAACAACACTACCATCACCACCAGCGCGCAGTCGCACGGTCACGCAGTAAGAGGCGAACGTAACTGCCCCACCCCATCCCCCCCCCCCCAGCCGCAGGACGCAGTTGCACGGTCAGGCAGCAAGAAGCAAACGCAACTGCCCCACCCCACCCCCCACCCAGCCCCAATACGCAGTTGCGCCGCCACGCAGTAAGCGGCGATCGCAATTCCAGGAGGCTCCGATTCGCAAGTTACTTAGGCCGTATGAGCTAAGGAGGTTTTTGTGTCGCGAGGACAAGATAACTCAGAGCTTGAAATTTCACGAGTTTTCACGGCTTTTTCACGGAGTAGTAACGGCCTTTCAGTTTCCCGCGCGAGTTATTACGGCCGTTAGGCCGAGTTTTCACGGCTTTACGGGGGCCAACGCCGAGGACATCTGAGCTCAAAAAGCCAAGGTAACTTGGGACTCGGGGCCCCCTTTTCCCAGCCCCAGGGCGCAGTTGCACGGGCACGCAGTAAGAGGCGAACGTAACTGCCCCGCCCCACCCCCCCCCCCAGCCCCAATACGCAGTTCCACCGTCACGCAGTCGGCAGCGATCGCAATTACCCCCTTCCCCCAGCCCCAGGATGCAGTCGCACGGTCACGCAGTAAGAGGCGAACGGAACTGCCCCACCCCACCCCCCCCCCCACCCCCAGGACGCAGTGGCATGGTCACGCAGTAAGAGGCAAACGTAACTGCCCCACCTGCCGCAGGATAGCCCCCCATGTGTTCGAAAATGACCCACTCTGTGTTCGAAAATGATCCAGGACATCGGTGTTCGAAAATGATCCAAAATCGGTGTTCGAAAATGATCCCCCTCCCCTCCCAGGTGGACTATACAACTTTGTGCAAGCCTCTTGTTTTCAGCATTGTAAAACCCATTTCAAGCCCCTCCAGTCGATTGGAGGGGATCACGTTGCATCGAGTACACTCGGGTTTAGGGTTTAAATTTTGATTTTTGCCATATTTCCAATAATTATATAAAATTTATCGAATTGAAATATTGAAAAAAAGATAGGTGGTTTTTAGAAATATATTTTTCAATATTAAAAACAAGTGTTTAATTCAACAATATGTTTGGGTTTGATGAAACAAAATCAAATTTGTTTAAAAAAATCCTTGAATAATATTATTTATTAAAAAAAGGAAAGCAATATTAGTTTTAAAATTTATACGAAATACTAAGTACCATTAGATATTCAAAAATTATTCTAATATGAATAATAAATATTCAATATTTATTGAAACTATTATTATAGCAAAAATACAAAATCAATAATATATTGGGTTTAATAAAATTCATTCGATATAAATCTAAAATTTAATATACCAAATATATATTTATAAAAATTGAAAAATATAATTGAATTTAATAAAACATATTCGATATCAATTTAAAATTATATTTGAATAATACATATTATCAATTACACAAAAATATTTCTGAGTTTAAGAAATATTCGATATTAATTCAAAATTATATATAAATATATTTAATATTAAAAAAACACAATATATGTTTAAATTTAAAACAAAAAAATAATAAATAAACAACATATTCGATATTAATTCAAAATTATATATATATATTATATATATAATTATTATTTAAAAAATCAAAAAAAAAACAATAATATTTATGAAATTAATGAAAGCATATTCGATATTAATTTAAAATTGTATATAAAATATAATTAATATTGAAAATTCAATAAGTCTGAATTTGATGAAATATAGTCAATAGTTTATTGACATTTATATTTCAATTCTAATTATTATGAAAAACAGAAAAAATTGAATATTATATTTCAACTATATATATTTTTAGAAACTCAAAAATATTTCTATGTTTAATAAGATATATTCAATATGTATTTAAATAGTTTTACAATTATTTTCAATAATTCAAGAATATTTCTGAATTTAATGAAAACTATTCAATATTATTAAAAAAAAAAAAAAAGTATTGAAAATGGAGTATATTATTGAATTTAAAAACAATAATCTATATCAATTTAAAATTATATATATATAATATGATTATTATTAAAAAAAAAAAAAAAGTCGAAAATATTGTATTTAATAAACATAATCAATATCAATATAATTTTATCTAAATACATTTCCTGCCTTCTCTGGGGCTTGTCTGGGTTCTTCTTTTGATAACTAGCACATGTGGAACACGCACTTGCGTTGCAAACACATCAAACCTTTCCAAAAATTTGAACCCACTTTTCAATACTGTTAAAGACTTGCTGGGGAGCAATGTCGAGCCAGATCTCCAGATAACTTTTGAGAGAAGTTTAATGGAGCTAACAAGAGCCAAAATCAAGCATCAAAACGGCTCCAAATTCCACGCGCCCCGAAACGGCTTGTCGTGCATTATGTGTATAAGGATTTGTACCTTTAAAGAAAACACGTATTTTACATTTCCTGCCTTCTCTGGGGCTTGTTTGGGTTCTTCTTTTGATAACTAGCACATGTGGAACACGCACTTGCGTTGCAAACACATCAAACCTTTCCAAAAATTTGAACCCAAAAAGGACCTTTTCAAAAACTGTCAAAAACTTGCTTGGGAGCAATGTCGAGCCAGATCTCCAGATAACTTTTTGAGAGAATTTCAATGGAGCCAACAAGAGCCAAAATCAAGCATCAAAACGGCTCCAAATTCCACGCGCCCCGAAACGGCTTGTCGTGCATTATGTGTATAAGGATTTGTACCTTTTAAGAAGACACGTATTTTACATTTCCTGCCTTCTCTGGGGCTTGTCTGTTTCTTCTTTTGATAACTAGCTCATGTGGAACACGCACTTTCCTTTTCTTTCTGATTCTTGCTTTCTTTTGTTTTCTTCACGTTCTTTTTCTTGTGGCTTCTTTTTTTGCTTCTTACCTTTCTGGTCAACTTCTTTTTTTATCTTATCTTGGTCTCTGTTCCTTGTCAATGGTTTTTTTTTTTCTGAAGCAAAGTGTTGCAGCCCGCAATGCGCAACACAGCAACGATGCTTCTTCCCTTCTTTCTCTTTTTCTCTTTCTCTTCTCCTCCTCTTTTTTTCTCTTCTCTTTTTCTTTTCTTCTGTTTCTTTCTCTTCTTTTTTTCTACCTTCTTCCCCCCTTTGCTGCTCTTTCTCTTCTCTCTTTCTCCTCTTTGACAAGAGTTTCGAAAAAGAGAAGAGAAAGAAAGAGAAGAGAAAGAGAAAGAGAAGAGAAAGAGAAGAGAAAGAGAAGAGAAAGAAAAGAGAGAGAAGAGAAAGAAAAGAGAAAGAGAAGAGAAAGAGAAGAGAAAGAGAAGAGAAAGAGAAGACAAAGAGAAGAGAAAGAGAAGAGAAAGAGAAGAGAAAGAGAAGAGAAAGAGAAGAGAAGAGAAAGAGAAGAGAAGAGAGAAAGAGAAGAGAAAGAGAAAGAGAAAGAGAAAGAGAAGAGAAAGAGAAGACAAAGAGAAGAGAAAGAGAAAGAGAATAAGAGAAGAGAGAAAGAGAAGAGAAAGAGAAAGAGAAAGAGAAAGAGAAGAGAAGAGAGAAAGAGAAGAGAAAGAGAAAGAGAAAGAGAAAGAGAAGAGAAAGAGAAAGAGAAAGAGAAGAGAAAGAGAAGAGAAAGAGAAGACAAAGAGAAGAGAAAGAGAAAGAGAATAAGAGAAGAGAGAAAGAGAAGAGAAAGAGAAAGAGAAAGAGAAAGAGAAGAGAAAGAGAAGAAAATAAAAGACAAAGAGAAGAGAAAGAGAAGAGAAAGAGAAAGAGAAGAGAAAGAGAAGAGAAGAGAAAGAGAATAAGAGAAGAGAGAAAGAGAAGAGAAAGAGAAAGAGAAAGAGAAGAGAAGAGAAAGAGACTACTAGCTTCCGAGAGACTACTAGCTTCCGAGAGACTACTAGCTTCCGACGGCAGGGTGTTGGCCTACCGTGGCAGTGACGGGTGACGGAGAATTCGGGTTTTCCGGAGCGAGCGTGAGAAACGGCTGCCCGTTTAAGGAAGGGCTCTTGTGAGGGCACGTGAGAGTGATTCCCGTGATCCCAACACGACGACGCTTTGCCCTGACCACCACAGGCCAGAGTCCTTTGTTTTATCAAGAGGAATATATTGAAGATGTACTGCTTGGGTTCCAGTTAAGTTGATCGCTATGGTCCTGATGACCTGAAGGCTGGGAGCGAGTTTGAGTCAAATAGGGCAGAGCATTGGTAGGGGTAGCGGTTGCAAGCCATGGAGAGCAGCTATTCAGACACCGTGTGCTTTATACTTCGGATCTCAATTGCTATTCTGATGTCATCGTTCGAGTCTGTTCGTAGTGCGTTGCTTGATCTGAGTTGTTTCTTTCAGTTTGCAGAGTTTTCTGGCACATTGATAGTCTAAAGGTTGTTTAAGGTGTTTCAAGCTGCGCCAACGAATTCAGCCATGACGCCTATGGTTGGGAGCAGCAAGTGGTTCGATTTGTTTTGTCTTGGCAAGCTGATTGTGCTTACTGCTGCAGTCCACAGCTGTTGTTGAAAGAACTGGAGAGGGTTGGCTCGAACTGTGTCAGCCCTTACAGAGCCAGGTCATTTGAACTTTCCAAGCTCGTTGCAGAGAAAACTCTGACTGGATTGACAAGGTTCTAGACGTTGTGAACAAGCGAGTGCAACCGCCCTAGCTGGATCAGTGTGTACAGGTACGATATATACACTTCCACCGCTTGCCCTTTTCACCTGCGCCAACCAAAGTCGAAGAACACACAGACTTGCTTCCATGATGGACGCATCAATTTTCCCAGGCCATTCGCCTCTTCCTTCGACATCAATTTCCTTCATTCTGGGAGTTTCACTATAGCTTAGCAGACGAGTGGAGGAAGATGGAACCTCAATCCCAGCTTGCGAGCGCAATACCTGGCTCAAACTTGTTGTCCAGTTGTGCCTGACTGAGAAACAAATTGCGCGGGGGCCCAGCACTCCATGCAAGCTGCTCAAGCAGTATGTCAGCCCTCAAAGGCGATGTGCGACATCGTGTGGAACCTGTTCGACGCAGCCAGTTCGGACGGTCACTTAAGCTAGGCTGCGCCGAGGTGATGTTTCAGGGTCCAGCTGGCTGGAGGATTCGTTAGTTCCAATCAGAGTCTTGTATCCATGCAGTCCATGTCTTTGGTCAAGGCCACTGACGCGGCTGCTGAGCTAGTTTGGGACCTGCTTGGGGCTGCCAGCAATGAACTGCACTCAGACTTTCACTGAGTTGAGTCACCCGTTTCCAGCGTAGACATCTTCCATTGTGGACTGCAGTGCCTCACTGTGAGGCCGCTCAGTGGTTGTTTGCGATGGCCTGAGACCAAAGCAAAGCGAGTCGCAAGTACCAGCATGAGAAATGTGTCCACTGAGCTGAGCACTCCCCTTGAAAGATTCTGGCCCCAATCCCTCGAGAGCATGCGCACAGCTGCGCACAGGCCGACAACTCTGAACTGATGTGCACCGCGCCCAGGGCGTGTTAAACTGCATGGAGCACGCCTGTGTGCCAACATGCACAGGTCAGCGCTACACCTTCCGCGATTTGCTCGACATCATGGAGGCCAAGCCTTTTGGGCAGCTTGTTTTTGTTGAGGGTCTACTGCACTGGAACGGCAGCTCTTACAAGCGAAGGATTCTTGCTTTCCCTGCAGGCTGGCAGCATCATGTTGCTAGGGAAGGCATGGTGGTGGTTTTCCGTCTTGCTGTCATTTGCGAAAGTGTAATTGTTGTTAAGGTCGTATTGGCTGAGGAAAGGCGGTTGACGCATAGTTTTTGCAAGCTTGCCTCTTCGGGGTAGTTGTGCTACGATTGACGTTTGATGTACTGCAATCAGGATATGTTGCGTTGCTTGTGGCCTTGTTTGTGCCCTGCTTAAGTACTTGCAAGTTTAGGGCAATCGACTGTACCAATTTTGCTTACAATTTTCATCGCTGTTGAAGCCTGCATGGAATTGTCTGGCTGCTGCACATGTCGGTGCTGCTGCCTGCACAGCTGCTGCTGCATTTGCTGGTGCCAGCAGAGCTGATATTGCTGCTGCTCTTGCCCTTCCTCTTGTTCTTGGTATTGTTCTTGTTCCTGTGGTGTTGGTGGTAGAGGTGGTGGTGGCGGTTGTGGTGGGCGCGGCGGTAGTGGCGATTGGCGGCTGTTGTGATGGCGGTGGTGGTGTGGTCGTCGTCATCGCCCTTTTTCAGTTGCTTTGTTTGCCTTGTTACTGTCAAGCCTGTCGCTGCTGCTTTGGTTGCTCTTGTTGTTGCTGCTGTCGCTGCTGCTGCTGTTGCTCTTACTTTGATGGCATGATGTTGTTGTTCCGTTGTAGCCGCCATTGCTTGGAGCCAGTTCATTCTGCTAGTTGCACACTTGATTGTCACACTTGTTTGCATGTCAGCTTGGCTTTGTCACTCTTATTTTTGTTCTTGCAAATATCCCTCTTGTCTGCTCTTCAACCGTTGAGTTGTTCTGTAGCTGTCACGATTCCCGGACACGCATGAAACATGTTTTATCTCTTGATGCGTTGGGTTTTTATCAGTTATTGGTTTACCCGTCTTTCATGCTTTGCCACATCATGTGATTTCCGCACGTCTGATCACGTCCTTGTCTTTGCTAGCGTTGGATCTCCTTTGCCGGCTTTCCGCATGCTTGGCAATCCTTTTTTGTAGATGGTCAAGTCTTCCCAGTTTGGCATCCTGCAATGCTGAATCCTATGAAACTGCAAAACAGCAGGGCCCTCCAATCATACAAGAGGGAGGTATCCTGGCATGTCCGAAGACATCCGAAGACGGTTGGTTGGATTTCAAAGGATAGGGCCAAGGGTATTCCATCAGCCTGCACTTTGCTTTAGTGTTAACTGCCCCCGCAGGGTGGCAACAGCGTGGTCATCCGCGCCGGGCCGTCCAGCCAGAAGGTGGCCATCAAGGTGGGCACGGGCCCAAGGTGCGTGAAGCGTTTATGTTGAGTTGAGGCGACAAGCTCAGAGGATGCCTTGAAAGAGGTGGAGGTGAGTGGCTGCGCAGATGGCCAGCTTTCAGTCCTTTTGGTTGACAGGTACTGGGCCGCCTACACCACCCGAGCATCATTGGTCTCCTGGGATTTGTGACTGCTAGGCCCGCTAGGTCAAGCGCAAGATCTTGGCTCCATATTCTGGACGGCCAGGCACGAAAGCTTCTTGGTCTACGAGCTGGCAGCATTGGACCTGTTCCAAGCTCTTCGCGGGCCCAGGCAGTGACCGCATGTGCTTTGAAGTGCGTAGGGACTGAGCCGAAGATCTGGAAGCATGGAAACACTTGAAGCGTTTCATGGAGTGACGCGTGACACTGTCTTGGGTGAGGCGCCCGCCTATTGCTTCCTTACATGCGCAGTCAATTTCCCAGCGAGGTTTGATTGGCAGCAACGGCTGCGTGTGCTCCAGGATTGCGTGGGTGCCCCGGCGAACCTCTCCGTTCCGCACTCTGCGGACGCTGAGGTCGCTGGGCTCTGCTATCTGCACAGCTCCTCCCCGAAGGCCTGAAATTCTGAAAGTCGCTGGCTGTGCGCTTTTCAATTTCAGTGCTCCGAGGTTCTTCATTGCGCTTGTGCCTTAGCTGCTGCACAGTGGTGGTTCATCCTGCCACGCGCCAAGGACATGAAGTCGACGAATCTCTTTGTCGACCACTCCGGGAGGGGCAAGGCATGGCTTGTCCCATGGCGAGCGCGCTGTGAGAATCCCTTGGCAGATCGGAGACTTCGGGCTGGCGGTGCGTCTAGAGCCGGACGCATCCAGCGCAGCAGGGTCCTGGGGACTGTTCCGAGTTTCTGGCGGCAAGCGCCACGTACTGCTAGGTCATGCGGCCATGTGGGACGCCCGGCTATGTTGACCCGAGCTTCCTAGCATCAGGACTCCCAGCGCCTGGGAGGCAAGTGCTCAGATTGCCCAGCCCTATTGGCAGATGTGCGGAAGCTCGCAAAATGGCAAACTTCTTAGATGGGTGGAAAGCATGCTTGACAACCATACAAAGCCCAAACTTTGAGTGGAGACTGCTGGGAACGCTAGCTGCCCCATAATGATCCTGAAGCAGGAATCGCTGAGCACGCAGCATCTCGACCACATGGTTTGAGGCAGATTTGTTTTGTCATCCAGACAAATCTTGATGGCAGAGGCAACAGGGCGTCATGTGTGGCCCTGGAAAATCCTAAAGGCAATCCAATGCTGCATGACGGAGTATTGCCCCGATTTCCGAAGCTCTCAAAAAATGGTGTTATTTTGCCCGTGTGCAATTTCATTCCATGTAAGTAGGTGTTTGCTGCACAGCTGTGACATATCGTCTTCCATTTCGCACCATCGCCTATAATAGCAGCAAAGATAATGGCAGGTGACACCTGAATTGTTGTCCCTTGTGCGCCTCTCATGTGCCTCGGATGCCTGATCATGCCTTTAACTTGAACTCTTCCCTTCTCATCGCAGGAGTGTATACCCCAGCCTCTGACATCTACTCCATGGGGATGATTATGCTGGAGGCCTTGAAGTTTCGCACCATTTGAAATTCTGAAGACGTTTTGCTCTGCCAGTTTGGGCAAGCCGGCAACGCGGCTGCTTGGTGCCTGTTTAGGTACTGACCGCCAAGCCTCCGGCCGTCGTCAGCAAATCGGGCAAGGTGCGCTTCCAGCCCCAACCTCAGCTGGCGAAGGAATTTGCGTGCGAACTGGTAGACGTTGACTGCCAGGAACACCTTCGGGGGTGATGTCGACAAGCTTCTCGCCGCTGCTAACTCCTCAGGATTTCCACACACGTTGCGCGGCAAATGTGAAGCGCCGAGTTCCCAGGTTGATCCTCGCGCGGAGTGGCCCGTCACCATTGCGGAGCAATGCGGGTGCATGGCGTTCATCTGCACCGACGAGGCAGGCTCGCGGCACTTGGAATCAGTCAGCGACTCATCTCGTGCACTTGAGTCACGTGCAGGCTGCCACGCGGCCAGATGCCGGAGATGTGGGACAGGTCCTTGAGGGCCTGCTCCCTTTGTAACATAGTGTGTTAGCACTGTTCGGCGGCGAGAAAACATGCCCGTGAATTCGAACTGTTAAACGTGTGCTTGATTGATTCATTCCTTGCTGGTCCTTGGAGCCACCTTCGCTCGCACGCGATTCCTGGACAGGCTAGGAGTTCAGTGGTGACGTGCCTTGTAGAAGACCGACTGCCAGTGCTTGAGAAACCTACACTTGAAAAACACAGCGAACAACTGTGAATAGCAGCGGCATGAACGCAAGAGAGTCCAAGGTTGAGGTATCTACATGCAACTCTTTCAAGCAAAAAGATGTGGACGTTCTGGAGTCCAGTGTCTACCTAGCGCCCACCTGTCGTTCAGCACCCACCACCCCCTTTACAGTCTAGTTAGAAAGTTCAGGACGCAGGGCAGGATTCGGCTAGGGTTTTCAACACAAAATTCCCAATGTTCTGGAAGAGCTTGTACGGATGCGCCACTGGATTGGCGGAAACAGAAAGACGAGCTTCCCAGTCAAAATCATCGAGCTTCCTGCACTGGTGCGATCAGCAGGGAATGTGGGAATGAACCCACGTTTTGGTCCCCTTGAAAAAAACCACCAGTTGGACGGTTTTTCTTGGGGTCGTTCCATTTCTCATTTGCTGAGAACTAGCAAGTTCTCGTACTTCATGAGCATTGGCCCGTGGTAGCATGCACTGACGAGTTGGCACCCGATTTTTGGAGCCCTTTCGGAGCTTTGGCAAATCTGGAGGTTGTTTTCGTCCAACCAAGGCGGGTTCGTTTTTGCAGGCTGGCCGTAACAATGTTGTGCTCAAGCCTGGCCGAACAATTGTGCATCTGGCAACCTCCAAGAATGCTCATTATCACATCTGGGTGCATGTTGAAGGATCGGTGCCATTTGACCAGAACAAATGTAGTCAATCGAGGAGAATCTTCCCAGTTTATTGGAAAGGGCAACATACCACTGCGTGGCGAAGTCCAGGGTTGGCTGTCTAGGCTACCTTTCTGGGGAAAAGTACATGGGCCTTTGTAATGAATTATCCTTACAGTTACCGAAGCCAACCTTGTCAACACAATGGCTTCAGCAAAACGGCCACTCTGAACGTGGTATCCACATGTGTGGAACACACACATGTCTTGATCACCAAACCATTCCAGTGTTGACAAAGGCGCAAACACCTACGTCAGACCTGCAGTGTCTTCCCCCTGAACATTTGCCGCCTTTTGAGGCTGATGTGGAGGCAGCAGTAGCCACATCAGCACTGGTGGGTCCCCCAACGAGGCTTTGGCATCAATTTTCGGTTGGACCGAGTGCCGGCAAGCGTGCCATAGAATGCCAAAGGGATAGAATCCAACTGTCTCAGCCAAAGGGTCGTTGTTCGCAACCATGATGAGTAGCTCCCATTTGTTTTAGTTTATGTTGTACTTGTTTTCCTGTTGATGTGGGGAGTGGGTCATGCCTCATATGTTTTGCAATCCTTTGGTGGCACCTTTTGCACACAGAAGCTAGGTTTTCCCACTGACGGAGGGCGTTTTCAGGAACTCCCAGGTAGACTATACAACTTTGTGCAAGCCTCTTGTTTTCAGCATTGTAAAACCCATTTCAAGCCCCTCCAGCCGATTGGAGGGGATCACGTTGCATCGAGTACACTCGGGTTTAGGGTTTAAATTTTGATTTTTGCCATATTTAAAATAATTATATAAAATTTATCGAATTGAAATATTGAAAAAAAGATAGGTGGTTTTTAGAAATATATTTTTCAATATTAAAAACAAGTGTTTAATTCAATAATATGTTTGGGTTTGATGAAACAAAATCAAATTTGTTTAAAAATTCCTTGAATAATATTGTTTATTAAAAAAAGAAAACAATATTAGTTTTAAAATTTATACGAAATATTAAGTACCATTAGATATTCAAAAGTTATTCTAATATTAATAATAAATATTCAATATTTATTGAAACTATTATTATAGCAAACATACAAAATCAATAATATATTGGGTTTAATAAAATTCATTCGATATAAATCTAAAATTTAATAAAACATATTCGATATTAATTCAAAATTATATATAAATATATTTAATATTAAAAAACACAATATATGTTTAAATTTAAAACAAAAAGAAAATAAAAAATAAAAAACATATTCGATATTAATTCAAAATTATATATATATATAATATAATTATTTTTTTAAAAAAAAAATCAAAAATATGTATGAAATTAATGAAAACATATTCGATATTAATCTAAAATTGTATATAAAATATAATTAATATTGAAAATTCAACAAGTCTGAATTTGATGAAATATAGTCAATAGTTTATTGACATTTATATTTCAATTGTAATTATTATGAAAAAAAGAAAAACGATATCAATTGAATATTATATTTCAACTATATATATTTTTAGAAACTCAAAAATATGTCTATGTTTAATAAGATATATTCAATATGCATTTAAATATTTTACAATTATGTTCAATAATTCAAGAATATTTCTGAATTTAACAAAAAAACTATTCAATATTATTTAAAAAAAGAAAAAAGAAAAAACAAAGTATTGAAAATGGAGTATATTTTTGAATTTAAAAACAATAATCTATATCAATTTAGAATTATATTTGTATATAATATGAGTGTTATTAAAAAAAGAAAAATCGAACATATTGTGTATTCAATAAACATAATCAATATCAATCTAATTTTATCTAAATACATTGCCTGCCTTCTCTCGGGCTTGTCTGGGTTCTTCTTTTGATAACTAGCACATGTGGAACACGCACTTGCGTTGCAAACACATCAAACCTTTCCAAAAATTTGAACCCAAAAAGGACCTTTTCAAAAACTGTCAAAAACTTGCTTGGGAGCAATGTCGAGCCAGATCTCCAGATAACTTTTTGAGAGAATTTCAATGGAGCTAACAAGAGCCAAAATCAATCATCAAAACGGCTCCAAATTCCACGCGCCCCGAAACGGCTTGTCGTGCATTATGTGTATAAGGATGTGTACCTTTTAAGAAGACACGTATTTTACATTTCCTGCCTTCTCTGGGGCTTGTCTGTTTCTTCTTTTGATAACTAGCTCATGTGGAACACGCACTTTCCTTTCTTTCTGATTCTTGCTTTCTTTTGTTTTCTTCACGTTCTTTTTCTTGTGGCTTCTTTTTTTGCTTCTTACCTTTCTGGTCAACTTCTTTTTTTATCTTATCTGGGTCTCTGTTCCTTGTCAATGGTTTTTTTTTCTGAAGCAAAGTGTTGCAGCCCGCAATGCGCAACACAGCAACGATGCGTCTTCCCTTCTTTCTCTTTTTCTCTTTCTCTTCTCCTCCTCTTCTTTTCTCTTCTCTTTTTCTTTTCTTCTGTTTCTTTCTCTTCTTTTTTTCTACCTTCTTCCCCCCTTTGCTGCTCTTTCTCTTCTCTCTTTCTCCTCTTTGACAAGAGTTTCGAAAAAGAGAAGAGAAAGAAAGAGAAGAGAAAGAGAAAGAGAATAAGAGAAGAGAGAAAGAGAAGAGAAAGAGAACAGAAAGAGAAAAGAAAGAGAAGAGAAAGAGAAGAGAAACAGAAAGAGAAAGAGAAAGAGAAGAGAAGAGAGAAAGAGAAGAGAAAGAGAAGAGAAAGAGAAAGAGAAGAGAAGAGAGAAAGAGAAGAGAAAGAGAAGAGAAGAGAAAGAGAATAAGAGAAGAGCATAAGAGAAGAGAGAAAGAGAAGAGAAAGAGAAAGAGAAAGAGAAGAGAAGAGAAAGAGACTACTAGCTTCCGAGAGACTACTAGCTTCCGACGGCAGGGTGTTGGCCTACCGTGGCAGTGACGGGTGACGGAGAATTCGGGTTTTCCGGAGCGAGCGTGAGAAACGGCTGCCCGTTTAAGGAAGGGCTCTTGTGAGGGCACGTGAGAGTGATTCCCGTGATCCCAACACGACGACGCCTTGCCCTGACCACCACAGGCCAGAGTCCTTTGTTTTATCAAGAGGAATATATTGAAGATGTACTGCTTGGGTTCCAGTTAAGTTGATCGCTATGGTCCTGATGACCTGAAGGCTGGGAGCGAGATTGAGTCAAATAGGGCAGAGCATTGGTAGGGGTAGCGGTTGCAAGCCATGGAGAGCAGCTATTCAGACACCGTGTGCTTTATACTTCGGATATCAATTGCTATTCTGATGTCATCGGTCGAGTTTGTTCGTAGTGCGTTGCTTGATCTGAGTTGTTTCTTTCAGTTAGTTTGCAGAGTTTTCTGGCACATTGATAGTCTAAAGGTTTTTTAAGGTGTTTCAAGCTGCGCCAACAAATTCAGCCATGACGCCTATGGTTGGGAGCAGCAAGTGGTTCGATTTGTTTTGTCTTGGCAAGCTGATTGTGCTTACTGCTGCAGTCCACAGCTGTTGTTGAAAGAACTGGAGAGGGTTGGCTCGAACTGTGTCAGCCCTTACAGAGCCAGGTCATTTGAACTTTCCAAGCTCGTTGCAGAGAAAACTCTGACTGGATTGACAAGGTCCTAGACGTTGTGAACAAGCGAGTGCAACCGCCCTAGCTGGATCAGTGTGTACAGGTACGATATATACACTTCCACCGCTTGCCCTTTTCACCTGCGCCAACCAAAGTCGAAGAACACACAGACGCTTGCTTCCATGATGGACGCATCAATTTTCCCAGGCCATTCGCCTCTTCCTTCGACATCAATTTCCTTCATTCTGGGAGTTTCACTATAGCTTAGACAGGGAGTGGAGGAAGATGGAACCTCAATCCCAGCTTGCGAGCGCAATACCTGGCTCAAACTTGTTGTCCAGTTGTGCCTGACTGAGAAACAAATTGCGCGGGGGCCCAGCACTCCATGCAAGCTGCTCAAGCAGTATGTCAGCCCTCAAAGGCGATGTGCGACATCGTGTGGAACCTGTTCGACGCAGCCAGTTCGGACGGTCACTTAAGCTAGGCTGCGCCGAGGTGATGTTTCAGGGTCCAGCTGGCTGGAGGATTCGTTAGTTCCAATCAGAGTCTTGTATCCATGCAGTCCATGTCTTTGGTCAAGGCCACTGACGCGGCTGCTGAGCTAGTTTGGGACCTGCTTGGGGCTGCCAGCAATGAACTGCACTCAGACTTTCACTGAGTTGAGTCACCCGTTTCCAGCGTAGACATCTTCCATTGTGGACTGCAGTGCCTCACTGTGAGGCCGCTCAGTGGTTGTTTGCGATGGCCTGAGACCAAAGCAAAGCGAGTCGCAAGTACCAGCATGAGAAATGTTTCCACTGAGCTGAGCCCTCCCCTTGAAAGATTCTGGCCCCAATCCCTCGAGAGCATGCGCACAGCTGCGCACAGGCCGACAACTTGAACTGATGTGCACCGCGCCGGGGCGTGTTAAACTGCATGAGCACGCCTGTGTGCCAACATGCACAGGTCAGCGTTACACCTTCCGCGATTTGCTCGACATCATGGAGGCCAAGCCTTTTGGGCAGCTTGTGTTTTGTGGAGGGTCTACTGCACTGGAACGGCAGCTCTTACAAGCGAAGGATTCTTGCTTTCCCTGCAGGCTGGCAGCATCATGTTGCTAGGGAAGGCATGGTGGTGGTTTTCCGTCTTGCTGTCATTTGCGAAAGTGTAATTGTTGTTAAGGTCGTAGTGGCTGAGGAAAGGCGGTTGACGCATAGTTTTTGCAAGCTTGCCTCTTCGGGGTAGTTGTGCTACGATTGACGTTTGATGTACTGCAATCAGGATATGTTGCGTTGCTTGTGGCCTTGTTTGTGCCCTGCTTAAGTACTTGCAAGTTTAGGGCAATCGACTGTACCAATTTTGCTTGCAATTTTCATCGCTGTTGAAGCCTGCATGGAATTGTCTGGCTGCTGCACATGTCGGTGCTGCTGCCTCCACAGCTGCTGCTGCATTTGCTGGTGCCAGCAGAGCTGATATTGCTGCTGCTCTTGCCCTTCCTCTTGTTCTTGGTATTGTTCTTGTTCCTGTGGTGTTGGTGGTAGAGGTGGTGGTGGCGGTTGTGGTGGGCGCGGCGGTAGTGGCGATTGGCGGCTGTTGTGATGGCGGTGGTGGTGTGGTCGTCGTCATCGCCCTTTTTCAGTTGCTTTGTTTGCCTTGTTACTGTCAAGCCTGTCGCTGCTGCTTTGGTTGCTCTTGTTGTTGCTGCTGTCGCTGCTGCTGCTGTTGCTCTTACTTTGATGGCATGATGTTGTTGTTCCGTTGTAGCCGCCATTGCTTGGAGCCAGTTCATTCTGCTAGTTGCACACTTGATTGTCACACTTGTTTGCATGTCAGCTTGGCTTTGTCACTCTTAT